ATGTTTAGAGGAAACAAAAATCATTGTTTCCTTCGCATAATGTCCAAACTTAACTTTACCTGTCTCAAAACATGTGACTCTTTACTAAATTTGGAAATTTAGAACTTTGACGTGTTGGCCCTCAAGAACGAGTCTTGTTCCTGAATTGGTTGCAAGATCAGTCTAGGGTGTAGCTGTGGCAAATTGAATCATAAAAAAGTGCTTTGTTAGCAACAGCTATGCGGTTAACCCTCTAGTGATGTTTGTAGAGCACTTGCCTGATATCATATGTGAAATCCTACACACAAGAGAGCTTCCAAGCAGTAGCTGTCCCACGACCCTAAGGTAAGGCCTGAGGACAAAATCGTGTTTGTGAGAAGGGAAAATGTGGTATTCCAAGTCATTAAAGAGTGCCTTATTAACAACAGCTAGTGGTTTAGTTTGTTTTGAATTTCACACAAGGTTACACGAGGACTATCTGCGCTAACTGTCCCTAATTTAGCCGTGACAGACTAGAAGGAAGGCAGCTAGTCAACACTACCCACCACTCTTGGCCTACTATTTTACCAATGAATAGTAGCATTGACCATCATTTATAACACCCTCATGGCGGAAAACATGTTTGGTTACGAGCATTTTAACCCGCGATCCTCAGATTGCGAGTCGAGCGCCCTAACCGGCTGGCCATACCACATCCACTTTGTGCGATACACTTATATATATGCAGTGAAACTTAGGTACGCAAATAAAAAATACTTCATACAAGAAATCGGGTTTGTTCATGGAGAGAAGACAGAAAATGAGAAATAACACCACCAAAAGAGGCGTACTGATGCAGGACCTGAAACCGTCTTTCATAACCAAACACTTAACCATATTAGTGTTTAAAGGATAGGAGATGTGCAAAGCATTATAAAAATCAAGGTTGTTGGTATTACAGTGTAGTTAGAAAGGAGGTAAATTAATAAGATCAAGGTTGTTGGTATTACAGTGTAGTTAGAAAGAAGGTAAATTAATAAGATCAAGGTTGTTGGTATTACAGTGTAGTTAGAAAGAAGGTAAATTAATAAGATAAAGGTTATTGGTATTACAGTGTAGT